TTGTCCAAATTGTCTAAACATACATATAATACTTAATTTGTATAAATCGGCCGAACGAACGCCTTTATATCCGGGCAGCTAGCCGAGCAAGCTCGATGCTGACGATTTTCGGCCTTGCACCTAGAGCCACTTAGAGCCACTCGATATGGCAGCGTAGCTGCCAGAGTAGCGCCACGCTTTTCCCTGTGCCGCCTCTCACCGCGATTGGTCACACGCGGTACCATAGCAACGAGCTGAGCTGGCTCGGTTTCCGTAGCAACCAAGTGACGACTCGTCACGTGACCTCTCAAGAGCCGTGATGTCATCGGTAAGATGGCAGCGCCCAGAGCTGGTGGATGCGAGTTTGTTCGGGGCCCTTAGTCGTGATGTGCCGCAGCTTGTCGACGATTTAGGGCTTCTTCGTGCTTTCTGACGTAGGTATAACATGAAGATCTGAAAGAAATGATACTTTATACCCTTTCTGTGCAAGATCGCTCTGGATATTAGCACCTGTGCGACAGCATCATTCATATCGCCTTAGCGGTGCTCGGGTTTCCGGATGTGTTTGAGGATCGATAAGAAATTTAGCATGCAATTTTCGCATTCTCTTAGCTTTATTTGAACGTTGGAGTGTCTGAGAGTCGATGCGAAATCTATGCGTCGCATGTTGGGCCTTGGGGAATTTGTTTTTTCCCCAGGTAACCGCATGATCACCAACTTTTAGCGAGGAAGCTTTTGCGATGTTTACGTTTTGTACTAATGAGCCAGGGAACCTGGGTTCAATCCCCACCCCTGCCCGTTTCGATCTGGATGAGCATCGTACCGGCCTGCGGTTGTGTATCACTACTGCGTGGTGCACCTTAAAGACCTATAGACCCCGGCCAGGCTAGCGGTTATACTGCACTGACTAAATTGCTCATCTACAGCGAGTGACTCGTCGCAACTTTGAAATGGCTGACCTACTACACGCTGTATAAATATTCACACAACTCCCAAGTATACTAATCAACGATTTTACGATATTCGCAGCGCAAGTTCGTCTGTTTCTTTTAGTAGGGATTGTGGCGACGTCAGAACGCCGAGCTCTGATTGGTTCTGAATAAAGAATAGTGGGTAGACCTCAATGCAGCTCGCTTTTAGGTCTACTCACTATCCTTCGATCGGAGCCACTCAGATCTCGGCGTTCTGACGTCACCACAACCCCTGCAAAAAGAAGCAGACGAACTTGCGCTCCACATAGCTTTTGGGATAAAATTTTCGCATTTTTCTAGCTTCCTTTGAAAGTCTGAATTTCTGAGAATCATAACGAAAGGTATAGACGCTTTCATCGCGCGCCAGATTGAGCCGCCATGGCCGACCTTCTCTTGTCTTAACGAGATGCCGAGCCATCGAAGCGAGCGTTGACGAGTCTCCACAAGGGACTATGCTGGGGAGAAGGACACAGTAGCACCTAAAGTGGCAATGACCTGTTTTGCTGCGACAACGGTGAAGTGAAGCGAACGGAATAAGAGGGAACAAAAACTGAAGGTCGGTTATGGCGGCGCCCATGCACAGCTGCCTGAAAGCGTCTATACGGCGCGTGTAGGGCCTAGGGGAAATTTTTTCAGCCCTGGGTCACCGAATAATCACAGCATTTTTTAGCGAGGAAGCTCCTGCGATCTTTAACCTTTTTTACTAATCGCCAATTTTACGAAATGGCAGTTCTGAAGCTTTTGATATAACTTTCTTTCGTTGCAATAGCTTGCATTTGATCGCAGTGTTTTTTGGTTTGTTTTTCAAGTGAAAAACTGTCGTTTGCTCAAGTGACGTGTATGAAATGTCCTGCTCTATGACAATGCATCAACACATACTATTAAACTTAGGTGCTCAGAGGTGTGTTCGTCTTTGTAATTAACAAGTTACAGACGTATTTATTTCTTACAAGTGTAATATTTATTTTCTGTAGCTGGGCCCGTTTTGTGCTCCTTAATGTCAGTGTGCTATGACGTTATCATCATGTGTGTATGGTTCTAAATATCCTCTGTACAGTGCCTACAAAGGCCAAAATGACGTCAGCCGACCCCAACACACGCATTGGACACGAAAACTGCGTCGCTCGGATGTATGCGCTCGTCAGCAATCAATTCGTCCATGGATATTTGAATTCACGTTCCTGGCGAATGAGTGCCCTGACGGAACTTATCATTACTTGCGAATGCCAAGTTCTACGGTGTGCTTAAAAAGCACGGTGAAAGCTTGGGGTCATCGCACAGGTGCCCTAGCATGTCACGACTGTGTGATTTCACAGTTCTCTTCTGAGTTGAGGATTATAGGTAAAGAAGAAGTTTAAAAATAATTTCGTGGCCCCTTTAACACCGATATGTGTGCTACACCAGATAAAAATATTGACTTTTTGAATGCCGGTAAACTTCCGAACGACCATTTGGCATGTCGGCAAGAACACCTCATATCCGGCGTCCGTCTCTTTTGATGGCGTCAACAGTTCTCTAGAGACCACCATGCCGTCCTTCTCGGTTGAACCCCGTCGACGTCGCTCCTCACCAGTCGGTGAGGAAATCTCATCTTGAAGAGATGATCGGGTCTTGAAGAAGTATGATGCTAAACATATATACTCGCTCACTATGGTGCAGTCGAGCAGCAGTCATGTTCCGAGCGAATCGTCCTGTCGTGGCCGGCGTAATCGGATTTTGTTCCATCGGAGCGAAGTCCGAAAGTACTAGGACGGTGCGTTCGTCCCGCGAAGCGGCCGCCATCCCGGCAGCGCCGAAAATTACTCGCCTTGTCCGTGCACGTACGATGCCATAGCAGCTATCGTCGCCCGACAGTCTCCGGGCTGCAAATCGTCTCACTTTTCAGAAAAAACAGGCACCGTTTTTCCAGACGTTATTGCCGTACCGCGATGCCAAGCGTCTTATACCACCAGTGTTGCCAGATGGAGAAAAAAAAAGTCAGCAGATTGATCCCCAAAAAGTCAGTAGATTTGCACAAAAATCAGTAGATTCCACGAAATATGTGTTTTGCCATGTTTTGCTATCTCCATTAATACACACTTCAAAGAAATAGTATAGGGTAACAAATAACATGGTAATAAATACAAATAAAAATGAAAGAAAAAAAACAAGACCAGTTCTCAAGTAACTTTATATGAAGGACAAATTAAAATGACACCATAAATGTTTTTGTTTTAGTCATTATTGACTGTTTCGAGGATTATTCTTTAGAATCGAGACTGAGGCACTTTTGGGATCACAGATGAAGGCGACAGTGCGACGTTCACCTGTCGCTATTATTGAAACAAAACCGAAACAAGACGCTCCGGCAAGTGCGCGCGAACATGTCCAATGGAAGTCCTCTGCATGCTGCCATCTTTCCTCACTGGACTGTGGAAGGTTTTTGAAGCAACGCTGTTGGTCCGGAGCACTGTTGAGGCTACGCGTTGTCTGCTACGGGCTTATTTCTTTTTCGCCTGACCCAAAGTTTGCGTTCAAACGTGGCGAAACTTCATTCGTTAGCTTTTTAAGCCACCGAGGAATAGGATTATATCATTTTCTTGCCACAGCCTGCCAAATAAAAGAAAATAACTGAAATTTGGATGTCGATCCCATGCATTCCGCCGAACGAATGAATGAAAATTGCGGCTCTCTCCGCTCAACTCGAAGCTATTCTAGTAGATAGTATAGGAGCAGCCGAGAGTTCAGGCGCATGCGCAAACACCTCTCGCTCTGCGCCACGGGCTGATTGGCTCACTCGGGAGAGGGACGTTACGGCGAGATCATAGACTAGCCAAACTCTCTCCATATATGGCTCTGGCCCGGATGTCACCGTCGAACCTGCCGAACCTGCTCTGGGTGAATAGATAGATGAATATACGTCTACGTCACTCGAATAGGACGGGCTTCTGGGTCATCTAGCTAGTGCTTCGTTTTTAATTCTGGGACATTATGAGTTTCCTTTGATGGGCGGCACTGGGAACTGAAGGGGCCATATAATAAATTTTTAATATGTTTACTAAAAAAAAAGTCAGTAGATTTTCTTGTTTTTCAGTGAATCAGTAGACCCGGAACGAGATCAGTAGATCTACTGATAAATCAGTAGACCTGGCAACACTGTATACCACTTTTCAATGAACGAATGGAGATATCAACTAGACTACAAAGGTTGCCGCCCGGCGTCGCTAGAAGCACGGTTACCATGGCAACCTCCCAGGCCCAAAATGGAGATCACTATCAGCGCTTCTGACGTCGTGCATCTAGATAATTTTGCGTCGTGTCGCTACTCTGGCAGCTACGCTGCCATATAGAGTGGCTCTAGAGCCACTGCGCGGCGGAAACAACCTCGAGCCATTTTTTTTTTTTTTTTCGGAATGTGAGTATTTTCTGACGAATGGAATGGCCCGAGGAGAGCTTTGAGCGCCAAGAACCTCGGAGGTCATGGTACGGGCGACTTGCCTTCATGCAACGCCACGTATCTCCTAAAAAAAAAAAAAAAAATAATCGTTAGTAGTTTACGCAACAGGAGTTTAGTCGTGCAGAACATGGCGACATTGTTACCCACTGGAGATGGAGAATTCGGCCAGTGCAGTACGACCGCTCACTTAGGGGCTTTAACGTTCATCACACAAAAGTTGTAGACGACCGCACTTCGGTGCGATGCTCATCCAGATCGAAACTGGCAGGGGCGGGGATTGAACCGGCCCGCCTGAGCTAAGATAAATATCCCCATCACTGTCACAAGAAGTGAAGAAGAAGCGACATGGCGAACTGCGGTGCTTCGCGTCTCGTACCACGTGCGTACCCATGAAGCCGACTTCCACGAGCTCGTCCACGCCAAGCGGGCCATCAGCGGACCCGTCCGCGAACCCCCCTACCGACCCGGACGCGAGCTCCGGGACAGTCCCCGGCTCCGCTTCCGTCCCGAACGCCGGCGCCAAGCCGACTCTCAAGGCGACCTCCAAAGCCGTCATTTCTGCGGGGACACTGGGCCCCGGTGTGCCGGTGAAGAAGACACCGGTGACCGCCGGCGCGTCGCCGGCGTCCGCCCAGAACATGCAGCTGTCCGAGGAGGTAATCGCGGAGTTCCGCGAGGCGTTCGCGCTGTTCGACAAGGACGGCGACGGCGTCATCTCGACCAAAGAGCTGGGAACCGTGATGCGCGCCCTGGGCCAGAACCCGACCGAGGCCGAGCTGAAGGACATGATCGCGGAGGTGGACATTGATGGTTCGGGAAACATCGACTTTCCCGAGTTCCTGGCCATGATGACCAAGAAGACGCGGACGGTGGACAGCGAGGACGAGATTCGTGAAGCCTTCAAGGTGAACCGCCCGCGTCCTGGGTTACTAACAGCCTGCCACTTTGTTGGTTCCTTATAGAACGCTAAACCTGATGCTTTGTTTGCCCGTTGCGTTCTATTTCATGCTCGGTCAATCTTCTGTTATATTTGTTCTTACGCACATATTTTCATCATAACGTGTCGGTATGTGACAGAACCCACGTCGCCCGCAGCGTGAAGCCATTAAGATCCGTCTATTCATATGCGACTATTAGGATACGCTCGACGACTCGACTATATTTCGTTTTTGTAACTTTTTGCCCCTACGCACAAACAGCGGTTGACGACAGATAGCTTGCAGTTGCGGAATAGGCCCTTTCCAAAGGTTCGGGCCATTTAATAGCGTCTGCTCCAATTCTGCGAGTCTGCCATTTAGGGCACGCATTCTGAGCGTGTACTGGATACGAGTGCTACGTCAGCGTTCAGTGAGGACTCGGATTCGGGATTTGCTATCTGCACAGCATAAACCAGGGAGTCACGTGACACTCCATTGACACCACTCCTCTCCGTCACGCATCTCTGCCGGTGAGGGCCACGCGACCTTCCCTTTCTTCGCCCTTTGTCGGTTTGCGTTATTCGGGTTCGTCTATCGTTAAGCTCTCTTAAAAACCCTCAAGAAGAGCAACATAATTGTAAGAGATCTGGGGAAATAAGCATGAGTGATAGGTTTATTGCATGCACAGTGCCAAAGACGCTCATATTGGCCGAGGGACGCTTCCAGTACGATGATGCTCCATAGCGATCTTGGTGCGACTGGTTTTAACGACCCTTTGGAAGCTTTGAAAGGGTCCAAAATGGCGATCATCATAGCAACCGACAGCGATGAACCAATCACCTTGAGAGTTTTTGTCATCTTTCTGTTGGTTTTTGTTTGTGTCCGGCTAGCAAGTGGGAAGGCAATGGCGCTACTTTCCCAGATCCAGTAACTTTAGTCGCACCTTCTTCAATAAGTGGCTTTCAGAAAGGCAATCAACGTTGGGGGCACTTTGTTGGCATTCTGAGAGGTCATCCGCATCAAAGTTCGTTTCCCGTCCTGTTCTCTGCTTATCAACGTTCGCTTACAAACAGTGTTCACGAAACCAATAAATGCCGAACTGACGAAAAAAAAAATTGACGTTTTGTTGTGGCGGGGTTAAATATACAAGCAAAAAAACTGTATTTTTTTTGTGTCCACTTCTCATTTTCTTCTATTTGTTATTTTCTGGACACTGAAGCCTGCATTGTTGTCGTGGGTCGTTTCCCGTTCTGCGTTGCGCCTCCAGTGTGTCAATCTTTACTTCCGTAAAACCACATCTTTTGTTTGAGGATTTTTGAGGTAAACTCTAGGACACTTAAATGTGCCTTTGAGAAGTTGAATGGAAACCCTAATCGTACGAACTTTGGGGTGAAATATGAGTAACAATCGGCGCAAAAGCGATGTTTTCGCGAGCTCAATCTAAGCCATAGTAACTTATCGGAGCTCGCAACGGGATTTGGTTGCTCGAATGTTCACGTTTGCTCGTGCCACGCCCACGCCACTTCATACCGAAAAACTCGGGAAAAGAAGGAGTGTCAAAAATAATGTATTTGAGATAACGAGTACAAGATACCCAGAAATGTAATTAAAATACAGTATCAAATACTCTCAGTCAAAAGTATTTGCAAGATATCAAGATAGTTCAAAACGTATTTGAAATACAGTATCTTGATAGAGTATTTGAGATAGGCACAAATCTGATTATAACCAACAGAAATGCGTGACGCAGAGAAACGACGTGATTGGAGCATCAGGCGACCCCTCGGTTGATGCTGTGCAAATAGCAACTCCCCTCGGATTCAGTCTCGTTTCGTGTCCAATGGATGGATGAATGCTAACGGCTGTAACCTTTGTAACGGTCGGTAGGTTGCACAACCTAGTTTAGAAATTAAGAACCAAAGTATGATTTTTTTCCTTCGCCAATTTGCCCACCCTCTGCAATTTCGTAACCCAAGGAATGGCGATCCCGACAGTTTTGATTGATGGGGTTTTAGAAGGCATCCATTGGGTCCCCCGTTCTGGTATATTGCCGTATGCAAACGTTCTATTTTTCGCATTGAATTTATGCCGTAGATAAGTGGTACTTCCAAGACAATGATAACGGGGAATAATGACATAACGTTACACCACGAGAAGCGTCCTGTGTTTCAGCGTCTCATTACCTGCTTTGGTGGGGACTCACAGGTATTCGACAGGGACGGCAACGGTTTCATAACGGCTGCGGAGTTGCGTCACGTGATGACCACCTTGGGCGAGAAGCTCACCGATGAAGAGGTCGACGAAATGATCCGCGAGGCCGACGTCGACGGCGACGGGCAGATAAACTACGAGGAGTTTGTGGCTCTCATGACCTCCACCTGACCATTAAACTGTGTGTACATGGAGCAGTCTGTTCGTCTATATGGGGTGGACCTTTTTCAGAAGTGCGCCATCTATCCTCACCGTAACTTGGCGAACGGCAAAGGCAATGGTCCCAGTGAGCCAGTCAGTGCACCGGAGGGAGACAGGTGGCCGTACCTCACCTCACAAGTTGCAGGCAGGGCTGTCGAAGCAACGAACGGGACTAAGGAAAGCCGCTTTTATGCGAATTTCGATCGACAGGGTTACGTATCTCCGAAGAGGACCAAAGCGGTGTCTGGAACACACGAAGGAGAGTTCAGGGCAATTACTTTGTTCGGGGAAGAGGGGAGCTCCGTCCCCTGTTCCCCAACAGGTGGGGTTACGCCTTGGTTGCGCTCTCGCCCCTGTACTGGTAATGGCTGTCACGCGCTTCGCCTTTGTCGCTCCGATTGGCTTGAAGAGGCCGTACAGTTCACTGTTTGTCGTGGTACAGTGAAACAAAGAAGCTCCTTCGCAAATGATCCGAATCCCGCCATTGGTTGGGCACGTACTTGGAGCAAGTATAAGCTTTCGACTGTGTAAGCGTTCGACTCGGACAGAGTCAAACGCTTTGTGCCAAAGAAATTGACATCATCAATGTTACTTGATGGGCTTTGAAAATATCCTATTATTAAGGCTTTTGACGTTTGTTGTTGATTACTTGATAGTTCATTGTAAAAAAAAATCTGTGTTTATTTAAAACGTCTAATCGAATAGAAATAGCATCCGCCCGCGGGAATGAAATATGCATATTACATAAACATGTTTTGAACGTTGAACTGTGTGATAAATCTAATTTGTCGGCAGTGCTTCCATGGGTACACACGAACTCAACTTTGTTACGTCGCGCCGGGCGCACTCCCTCTCTGAGACTGTGGGCGGAAGTCACCATGCGGGACGTGCATTCCTGTGTTGTTTTGGAAGAATCCAGACTAAAACCTGCCTTCTCGTCAAAACCCCTCGGCCGGGGCTGTACCAAAAGAGTCGTGAAATGTTTGAAGATCAGTTTTCATGTTTTTTCTGCATGCCCGGTAAGTCGGAGGAAGTGGATAAGTGCCGTGAAAAATAAAGCCAGGCGCTGTCGGACGACGATTGCTTGTGCGGGAAGCACTTTGGGTTAAATTCATGGGTGCTTGTTGTCGTCCGATTATTTGTTTCGTTCCAACATGAACAGGGAAACATTGCCAAGCTGTCCGGACCGCCCGCGGACTACGTTAAGTGCGTCTTCAAATTCAAACGGTCACCTGATTGTTCTAACTGACGTCTGTTTTTTTCAAACATGTCTGCGTGTTGTCGTCTGCTCCTTTCAATACCCGGTAGTTGTGAGTACGAAGTAAATGCAAGCATCAAAAGACGTTTAAGTTTGAAGGTTGGTTGGGGTAAGTAGGTTTGGTGTAAACAGTAGATACAAAGAGATCACCTACTTGTTATGCCTGGTTCGCTTGGTCCGATTCAGCTTGCAATTTTCAGTATCGACGTCGAGAGATCCAACTGTAGCTGCTTCTCAAGCGTGTTTCACATGCGGCGCGATTTCTGCCGTCGCGGCGCTCTGGCCAGCCGCAGCGGTTGACCGGCACGATCGCCGCGACGGCAGAAATCGCGCCGCTCTAAGGCCAAAATTGCTGCATGTGAAACACGCTTTAGAGGCCCATAGATTTCCTGTACAGGCTCCCAACAGGAGCCAGAGTTGCGCATTTAGCCACCTTGAAATCCTGAGTTATGTGGGAAAGCCACTCCTCGCACGTGTAGGAGCCGTGCTCCGTCGATTGCCGCCGATCACGTGACTGAACTTGGCGAATAGCGGCGCTGCGCGCGCCGCCGCGCATGAAGAACAGGAAAGGAGGAAGAGGAGGCAAAAGCAGGGGAACATACGCCGGGGAGCGTGCAACGTCGGCAAAGCGACCATATCGGTAACTTACCTGCACGGCATGGGATTCTTGGCTCCTCTCGCGATCTATCTCGGCGAATAGTGGCGCTAGAGTGTACTCTAGTGGCGCGGCGGCATGTGGAAAACAGACGCGCAACTCTGGCTCGTAGGGAGCACATATAGTCACCAGCCAGAGAAGAAGAAAAGGATGGTCACGGGGATACCCCCGCATCGAGTCAAGATGCTTTCAAACAACGGCATTAACAATAATAAATAAATAATAAAGAAATAAATAATAAAATTTATTCAGTAGTGCAAGTATAGTAATAATAATAATAATAATAATTATTATTATTATTATTATTATTATTATTATTATTATTATTATTTTTACGAGAGCTTATACATTTAAGCTCTCGTAAATATTGTAAATGAAAACGCGATGTAGAAGAAACGTCCTCTACATATTGGTGACCCGAGACCAGGCGACTCCCGACTCAACCAGGTATACGCTCCTCCTGGGTCTTGTGGTGAGCTGAGCGACAACTTTCAGTCAGCACTTCTAAATCCTATCCTCTCACGAGCGAAAGTGGACACCCGTGGAAGCTCATTGTTGACGAGTTCCCAACTGTGTTCCTATTGTATTTTATGAGGTGGTGGTGGCCGATGTTGGTCCGAGAGGTGATGTCGGGTACCGGCGCAGGGCTCCGTGGATTGCCTTGAGTGCCGGTGGTGGCGATGTTTTGCCTTGTCAATGTCGGGAAAGGAGTGGCAGCCGCTGCTGCAGCCGTCGTCGATGCCGGGGAGTAGACGTCGGGCTCATCCGCGAAGGGTTACCCGGTAACGGCGGGGGCCCGCGTCTGCGCGGGCCCCGCCGAGGGCGAGGAAGGACACCGGTGACTGTCGACTTGTTTATTCCGAATCCCGGGGTCAACTGTTCGAAAGCGATACTAGCATGCACGAGCTGAGCACGCGACACTGCGTGTGGGGCACGCTTCTCTGGTTCAGAATTCAAGCCCGTACGACCTATACTTCGTTTCAGCTTCGGTCCAGACGCAGCCGATGCTACAAGCGCGAGCATGGGGCCCAGAACAGTGCTTGCACTGCACGAGCGCGCGTGCTTGGCAGGGATGCTGAAAGCCCGGAGCTCGCGCTTGTAGCTTTGGCTGCGTCTGGACCGAAGCTGAAACGAAGTATAGTACGACCGCTCAACTCAGAATACTACAGTCGGTGCCCGACCAGAGCGCCCAGCACAAAACCACTCATCACATCGAGACGAAGGGCCCTCCGGTGTTTGCAAGACCTATAGACGCCTAGCATCCGATCGTCTTCAAATAGCCAAAAATGAGTTTGATCACATGCTTACATTCAGTTATGTACGACCATCTTCCAGCTCGTGGTCTTCACCGCTACACATGGTACCCAAGAAGGCAGGAGACTGGCGGCCCTGTGGAGATTATCGGGCATTGAACAAGGCTGCTCTTCCCGATCGTTATTCAATATCCGATATCCAGGATTTTGGAGGCCTCGTAGAGGGCGCTACTATATTCAGCAAAGTAGATTTGGTTAAGGCTTATCACCAAATCTCCATCGAGCACGCTGATATTCCCAAAACTGCCATCGTCACTCTGTTAGGGTTGTTCGAATTTTCGCGAGTGCCTTTTGGAGTTCGCAACGCGGCTCGTACCTTTCAACGACTTCTTGACCAAGTACTTCGTGGTTTTACATTCCCATTTGTTACATCGAGGACATCTTGGTATTCAGTCGCACACCAGAAGAGCACGCCGACCACTTACGACAGCTCTTTTCTCGGCTGCAAGAATATGGTCTCGTTGTCAACGTGATCAAATATGAAGTCGGCGTCGAAGAACCACATTTTCTTGGGCACCATGTTGACAGTCACGAGATTCAACGGTTGCTTGAGACAGTAGACGTCATCAGGAGCTTCCCAGCCCCGACGGCGGCAACGAAGCTTCGAGAATTTCTTGGGCTAGTTAAATTTTACTGCCGATTTGTTCCCCACTGCGCAAGTGTCTGTCAGCCCCTCCACGACTTCCTCAAAGGCAACAATATGAAAACGTCGCCGCTGGACTACAGGAGGCTCATCAAGCTTTCCAGACGCTGAAGGATGCCATGGCTAATGCCACCATGCTCATGGGTCCTAAGAGCCGGGGGTCTGTCTCCATCACGGTCGATGCCCCAGATGGCGCAGTGGGAGCCGTTCTACAGCAGCAAGCAGAAGGCAACTGGCATCCTTTGTCATTTTGATAGCCGAGTGGTATAATTTATTAAAATAGGTAATGCACGTGTTACCGAATGCAAAAAAAAAGCAATCGGACTTTTCTTTTCTTGTTTAAAAAACATCATTTTTTTTGTAGTCTTTAATACGTAATTTAGCTGTTTAATGATGTATATATTACCGTTCTAAAGTCCCTCGTAAAAGTTGGTGCCGTCTGTTCGACGCCAGCATGCTGTACGTTGAACTGAAGTTTTGGGATGTCGTATGTGGGACAAGGGAAGTAAGAATATGCTTCTTTTTTTTTTTTTTTTTTTTCTGAGAGTGTACAACTCTAACTCGAGTGATATACTATGGTGCTGCACGTCTTCTTGAGATAAGACGGCGTCAAGAAGTCACTACAGCCTCCGTATGACGGACCGTTTCAGGTCCTACGACGCGATCGAAGGACTATGACGCTGCTAGTCAGCGGTGAGGACATAATCGTTTCGTTAGACCCAGTGAATGAAGTCCACTCATCTTGACACCGACTTTTGCGAGTCAGCAGCAACACTAGTCCAGGAAACTCGTCAAGTTCGTTTCCGTTCCGGCAAAACTCAAAACATGTATCGCGACAGACATCACAACACCACACCGGACATCTCAGACACTGAGACGGTCGTAACTTCCGCCTCCTCACTAGGGGGAAAGTACTGTAGTGACCAGCCGGAGAGGCAGAAGAAGATGGTCACGGGGAAACGAGGAGGCCCCGCATCGACTCAAGATGCTTTCGGACCACGGCATTTAAGTTCTTGTAAATAATGCAGATCGAAACGCGATGTAGAGGAAACATCCTCTACAACAAGAACTCTAGAGGACCATGACGGGACGGCATTCCAA